GGGGACCCCAAAACCCCCCGGCAGAGCCCCCTCCTCCAGCCCGCGGGGCAGGGTCCCCCCCTCCCCCCCACGCACCGGCCACGGGCGGCTCCGCCCCGGGCAAGAACCGAAACCGAAACGGGACCGAAACGGGAAGGGGAGGGCGGGGGGCGGGGCTGGGGTGGGGACACGGTGACACGGGACCCGCGGGGGACACGGTGACACGGGACAGGGGACACGGGACCCACGGGGGACACGGGACACGGGACAGGGGACACGGGACCCACGGGGGACACGGGACACGGGACAGGGGACACGGGACCCACGGGGGACATGGGAGACGGGACACGGGACACGGTGACACGGGACACGGGACCCACGGGGGACACGGGACACGGTAACATGGGACACGGGACCCACGGGGGACACGGGACACGGGACCCACGGGGGACACGAGACACGGGACAGGGGACACGGGACCCACGGGGGACACGGGACACGGGACCCACGGGGGACACGGGACACGGTAACATGGGACACGGGACCCACGGGGGACATGGGACACGGGACCCACGGGGGACACGGGACACGGTGACACGGGAGACGGGACCCACGGGGGACACGGTGACACGGGACAGGGGACACGGGACCCACGGGGGACACGGTGACACGGGACACGGTAACATGGGACACGGGACCCACGGGGGACATGGGACACGGGACAGGGGACACGGTGACAGGGGGCACGGGACCCACTCGGGACACGGTGACACGGGACAGGGGACCCGCGGGGGACATGGGACACGGGACATGGGACCCACTCGGGACATGGTGACAGGAGACATGGGACACGGGACCCACTCGGGACATGGTGACACGGGACAGGGGACCCACGGGACACGGTAACATGGGACAGGGTGACAGGGGGCACCAGACACGGGACCCACGGGGGACATGGGACACGGGACAGGGGACCCACGGGACACGGGACCCACTCGGGACATGGTGACACGGGACAGGGGACACGGGACCCACGGGGGACACGGGACACGGGACAGGGGACACGGTGACACGGTAACATGGGACAGGGTGAGGGGGCACCAGACACGGGACCCACGGGGGACATGGGACACGGGACAGGGGACACGGACAGGGGACACTGGATACGGGTCGGGACCCACTCGGGACGCGGTGACACGGGACCCACGGGACCCAGTCGGGACACGAGACACGGGACAGGGGACCCACTCGGGACACGGTGACAGGGGACAGGGGACACGGTGACAGGGGACACGGGACCCACTCGGGACACGAGACACGGGCACGGTGACACAGGACACGGGGCTGGCCCCACGCGGGACACGGGGACGGGTGATTGTCCCTTGGAGGGAGAGGGACACGGGGCCAGCCCCACGGGTGACAAGTGGCTGTCCCTCGTGTGTGACCGTCCCCACGAGTGACCAGGGGACACAGAACTGAACTCAGACGTGACGAGAGGAAAAGGACAAAGCCCCACGGGTGACAGAGGAATGACACGGGGACAGGGGGCCAGCCCCACGGGTGACAGGGGGACAAGTGGCTGTCCCTTGCACGTTACCGGAGACCCGTGACCGTCCCCACGCGCGACCAGTGGACACGGAACTGAGCCCAGACGTGACGAGGGACACGGAAAAAACCCCACGGGTGACAGGGGCACACGAGAATAGCATAGACACCCAAGGGTGACAGACTTGGGGACCCGTGACCGTCGCCACGCGTGACACCTGCGCCAGGTGCGCGCTGCCGCCACCAGGGGGCGCTCTGCGGCCTCCAGGCC